CCAGTTCAGAGAGTCCAGGTGGTTGAGTGTCAGATTGTTCCAACTCATTTCCCTTTGGGATTGCTGTAGGTGATCCAGAAGTCTGTTTTTGAGACTTGTTTAGGTGTCTTCTCATTTCCATGGGAGGAGGTGCTTCTGGCACCCACACAGATCACCTTCTCTGCCCTAGGAGCTTGGGATGGCAGCAGGGGAGCTTCCTTCCAGGTTCTGGGACTGGCTCAGCTTCTCTGCCCAGATGATTCTATAGATAAACAAATAAGAAGAGAAATTTCCTGTAGTGTTCATCTCTACACACAAGACCCTGAGTTAATGGTCTCCCTGCACTAGCTTAGGTCTCAGAGGAGATGAGCCAGGCAACCTCAGGATCCCCCTCCTCCTTACTTTCCCTCCCCTGCCTGGATTCTGATCATTCCCACCTCGCTCTCCACGAAACCCTAGCCTCTGAAGAAAACTTGCCTCACTAGAGCCATTCCATCTTTCCTCCACTGGCCTCCAATTTGTGCACCTCTGCCCTCTTTAGCTCAAAGTGAATGAGTGCAGCTGGGTTTTCCTTTAGCAGAAGACTTCATTCTTTCTCCTTCAGTGAATTCCATGCAGGGTCATTGCAGAGACTCTCTCCCTTACCAGGTGAGTGTGTGCTCCTCTTGGTCTCATGAAGTAAGATCATAGGAACCAACATGGAATCACTAAGGAGAAACTTTTCTCAAATCTAATTACTTTTTAAAATGTAACTATTACCCCCAGCCCTCTATCACCACTAGATTTCAGGTCTCAAATAATGAAGACTGAAAAGTTTACACATTTTTCAAGTCAGCAGCAAAAGAAAAATCAATAACTAAAGACCCCATGAGGAGAGGAGAAAATAATTATCACCTCAGCAAACTACCCCTCTAGTACACATGAAGCAATGCACTGGATGTTAGGTAAAATACAGCAAAATGAAATATAAAATTGGCCATCTAGTGTCTTAAATGATGGAGGAGACACGGGTTGAGGCAAGTGAAATTTTCAACCAAGATTAGAGTGTTGGAAAAATTAGGGGGAAAAATAACAGAGTTCATATGATAAGTGAAATAAATGTCACCTGCATGTGAATCCAGACATTAATTTATATATTTATTAAATAGCTGCTAGAGGCTGAAACAATGTGTGGGAAAGGCCGGAAACAGCCTCAGACAAACTCCCAAAGTGCTCTCAGGCAGAAGGGTGTAAGTGAGAGACTGCAGTGGAGTCAGAACTCACAGAAACACCTGGAGATAGAGACAGGGAATTCCTGGCCATAATCACAGAGGCTCTCATTCTGGTGTGGGAGTCATAGGAGATGCAGCCTCTGGAAAGTTAGCATGGAAAGCAGTGGAAGAATCCAGGTGTGCATAGGACAGGAGGTGGCCTTCACAGGAGGTGGAAGCAAGTGGTTGAGAGGATGAGGTTAGGTTAGCAAGAAGCCAGGACTTGATGCTCCAAGGAGCCCATCCTCCTCTCCAGTATTAGGTTCCTTTGATGAATGAATGCAGTCAGAACATGTAGGCATCTGTGTAGATGTAGAGTCACAATTTAATGCAGATTGAATATAGCAAGACTTACACCTTCAATCCAGAAGTTTGGCAGTGACTCTCAATCCTCTGCCCCAAGTGGGTGTCTGGATGCATTTTTAAGGCACAGAAGGGTTTCTGCTGGGCTTCTGGCACTACAGTGACTGTGATGCTGACTGACCAGGTTTCTTAGAGCTCACTCTGGCACTGCGACATGTCTTCCTGCCCTTTTTAGATCAGTGGTCCCTGAGGTGCCTCAGTCATGCAAGAAAGGAAAGAAAAATTACAGAAGATAACTTTGAATAAGGCTCAACCCAAGGCAGGTGGGGGTTAAATAATGTCCCATTTCTGATATCACTGTGCCTTGAGCTATGCAGTAGGATGCTTTGTGCATGGTTCTCCACACAGAGGCGCTGTGGCTCAGATCTGAGACCTCATAAATGACTAAAAATGTGTCACACCCTGAGCTCTGCTTCTTTTTTGAGCTCTAACTGGCATGGCATGCTATTGTAGACACATTTTGCTCCTTGTGCCCGGTATCTGGTGTCCTACTATCTCACCTAACAATGGGGCATTTGGTGGGTCCTTAAAGACTTTCTATAATGTGTGTGAAAATGAGGACTGTAGTCCCTGAAGGTCACTGCCCAGGAGACACTGAGGACAGGGTGAGAGGTTTGTGCCTCCAGAAACAGGAGCATACCAGTGATGGACGATTCTGACATTATGGCCATGAGGAGATCGTTGGCCCTTTAAATTGGCCATGAGCTTCCTGAAGATTTCTTTAAATTCTCAAATGCTGGGGAGACAAGTAGAACTAAATCAGTTGTCATAGTGATGTTGCACAGTTCAAACCCCTTGAAAAAACTTCCACTTTCCTGGGCTTGGCTTATTTCACTGAACAGCATAACCTTCAGTATCAGGTGTGCTGCATTAGTGCCCAATTTACTTCTTTAAGACAGATGATATTCACTGTTTCATTCACCTCATTTTCTTCCAACTTTTCCAAGGCTAGAAACCAGGTGGTCCACACTTTGGCTGTTGTACATGATGCTTCTCTGATCATGGAAGTGGAGCTGTCTCCACAGAGTCCTGGTTCCACTCCAGTGAATAAGTCCCAGGAGAGGGATGCTGGGCCATATGATAGTTCTGTGTTTAATCTTTTGAGCAGTTCTCATCCTGTTTCCATAAGGTCATCCTCTCCTTCCCACCAACAGCATTCTCTTCTCTCCACATTTTGGCTGACATTTTTTATCTTTGCCTTGTTCTGAACAGCCCCTGCAACTGAAGGGAGTTGAGAAAGATACACACTTCACACTGTCACTCACAAGAGGTAAACAGTTAATCTCTTAGAAGCAGAGTGCAGGGCTGCGGATTTAGCTCAGTGGTTTCACTACCTGATGCACAAGCACAAGGACCCAAATTCCATCCCTAGTACCAAAAAAAAAAAAGCAGAGTGCATGGTGGTGGTTGCCAGAGACCCTGGAAGTGGCTTCCTTGGGGTAGGACTGACAGTGCCCACAGATTGAGTCACAGACATACAGCAAGGAGTAAAGATCTGTGGTACAGCATGAGGAGGTAGTGGGCAAAGGGCTCAGCTCTGGGCCTCAAATGACCCAGGCTCTGTTGTGCTAACTTTGTACTCTCTCTTGCCCTTTCTCCTGGTCTCTCTGCCTCAAATTCCTCTGTTGTGAACACTCATGTGTGCAGTTATTTGGCCCCACTAATTACATGCACATTGTGTGTGAGTTGTGCAAATCCATGTTCTAGAGATGAGAATCAGAGGCTCAAATGGATTGTTCCATGGCACAGGCTCTTTATCCTGCAGTGAGAAAATGGTATTTCAACCCAAGCAACAAAACTTCTCTCTTCTGACACTGAATCTTATTTGGTGTTTTGCTTTTTTTGTTGTTTATTTGGTTGTTTCTTATTCAAAAACACAATCCTTTCTAGAATGAGAAACTGTAGAGAAGAATGTTGTCTTAGAGCAAGTTGAACTTAGAATGAACTCTGGGTAAATGTTCCCAGGAACAGCAGATGTTCTCTCACATGCAAGATAACATCCAGGGAGCATTGCATGTGATGCTCCCTCTGTTCCAGGAACCTTGACACCCGAGGGTGTGAGCATTCTGCTCTGGGAAAGCTCAAGATTAGATATGAAAGTTTTCAAGATGTTATTCTTAAAAAACAGCTTCAAGGCTTTGGTTGTAATCCCTCACATTTCTCACACTCGCATTGTGCACCGCTTCAATAAAAGACATGGGCAACAGAGGCAAGCTGCTGTTTTGCCTTGTGAGCTGCAGCCCTTTGCTCATCCACTTAACTGCATTCTTGTGGTCTGACTCTTCTTCACATCTGGAACGACTCCAACAAGTGGCACCCAAACAGGGACTTGAAGGTGAGTCGCTATTAAGGACCAGGGAACCAAAAGGGGACAGTATGCTCCAGAGAAAGCGAAACCCTCAGGAAATTCTGAGTAGAGTCATGGGGAACTCCCCATCCACAGAAATGCAATATATTAGGTTATTGCTGAATTTATTGAAAGGATCTGGGGTCACGTGAAGAAATCCCAGTTTAAGGAACTATTTTCAGTGGTAAGGAGGCATTGCTGTTGCTTTCATCCTAATGGAAAATCACAGTTGAATTTAAAGGTTTGGAGAAAAGTAATGTGTGCCTTGTGCCACGCTCATCAGAGTGGTGACCCGATTTCAGTTTCAGTTTGGTCACTCTGCAATCTCATTTCTCTCACTTTGCAACCTTTGCAATCTGATTCTGAGTCCTATGGGACAGACTTTGAACAACCGATAAAAATTTACCACATCAGGGTTATGAGCCCGCTGATGATTTGCTTTCAGGACTGCTCCCGCCTCTGCCTAAGCTGACCTAGGGCTCAGAGCTCCCTCCCCCTGAGGCTGGTTCCATCCAATACCACAAGGAAGGATCCTGATAAGGATCAAATGCAGAGGCTGCTACAAAGTGCTTCATATTGACAAGTAGCCTTTGCAGATTTCACTGAACAGATAGATAATCATTACCCTAGTGGTCCTCTGTTGCAGTTTTTTTTTTTTTTCACAACATGAGTTTATTCTCCCTAAGGCTACTCAATTTCAGCCATTACAAGGTGCCTCAACCTATTTCACCAATGGTTCCTCTAAGGGTCAAGCAGCAATTTGGAGCTCTTCCTTTAGCTATGTGTTGCCTACATCTGGTCTTTCTGGTCACAGGTCAGAATTGCTAGCCATTTTATTTGTGATTGAAAACTTCCCTTCCCAACCTCTTAATATTTTGAGTGATTCCTCTTGTGCAATTTGTTTGACTCAAAGACTGGAAGGAGCTATGGTCTGCTCTACCTTAGAACCTAAATTATTAAACTTGTTTTTAAGATTACAAAAGGCCATACATCAAAAAATTCCTCCTGCCTTAATAACTTGGGGGAGAGATTTTACCTGTTTGCTGACAGATAATGATGAAACCTTGTGACTGCCCTCCTGGAACTTGTGATCATGGGTCACACTGCTGGAACCTCCAGCATCTCAAAGACCAGGGATAGCACCCCCACTGAGAGTGATGAGCCAACACTTGAGAGACCCACCTCACCAGAGAAGACCAACAAATCCACAGTGAGGTCCAGGACTGAGATGATGCCCCCAGAGGAATAATAATTATATATTTATGGTAAAAAATTTATAAAGGGGGGAACAACTTGAAAATGTTCTTTTTATATTTACAGGTATAAAAGGGCTTGTGTTCCTTCTGATTCTAATCTCAAGATATCTCTGTTAATTGACTACAAAAGTTTTTGACCGGTCTTGTATACAATTATAAACCTAAAAATCATAAAAGGGATATTATAATTTGATTTGGCCAAATATATTTGAGCGCACTCTAATTTTATAAATTGTCTTATATGTTTGTCTGTTGTCTGTTTGTTCAGTTGAGCTCAATTTTTTTTCTTCTCTCTTTTCCTTTTCACCTTTAAAAAAATTTTTTTTCTTAAAAGATATCTGAAGGACCCTTGTTAGCAAGACAGACTCCATATTGCTGCTTGACCCACCAGCCTGCCCTTTAGATGAACTCAGAAGGAGGAAGCTTAGAAACCTCCTCCCCTTAGAGAGTCTCTTAGAAACAACAATCAATCAAGTATTGTTTTACAAATGTTCTAACAGCAGGATGTTCCACTTCTGTACCTTTTGCTTGCTTTACTAGTTCTATCCCATAGGGGGGCCTAGAAACTGTTGGCCTCAAAGGTGTGTAAAACATGTTTGTCAACCCCCAGCCAAGGCTGGAGTCCGATGCTCGGCTGGGATCCAGGCCGGTAATAAACTCCTGTGTGGATTTAATATCAGTCTCTGATTGGTTCTTTCTCACTGGGTGCAACAATATTCACCTATTATTACATTGGCTTACAGATAAATATTATTAAATTAAAGACATGCCTTTCTTCCACCAGGTTGCTAACTGATCAAAGTGCCATCGAGATTTATTTGTTAAAGTACATAGAGACCTTGGGTACACCCTTTTGTAAATAAAGAAGCAGCCACCCAGAAAATAATTATTCTGGTATTAATTCAGTAAAGGGACTTCCTAGTAATTTTCATAATCTTATGGGAGACACACCACAACAAATATTGTCTCAATATGTTATTATAAATTGATTACATTGTTATCATTGATGTTTAAGTGCTAAATATGTTATTATAAACTGTTTACATTGGTTAAGTTCTGAATATGTTATTGTGATATGTCTACATTGGTCATCTTCAAAAGATTAATTTCTGTGACCATGGGGAACACCTAAGCAAAGATTAAGTCAAGCCCTAGTTACTATTAATTTTTTGAATGAATCTTCAGACGGTCTCACTGCAGCTGCCAGGCACTGGCAGACCCCAAACACCCCTGATTTACAACAACCCATTTTTTATAGACCCCTGATGGAAAATACTTGGTTACTAGCCTTAGTGTTGAAATGGGGCCGAGGTTATGCTTATATTTCCACAGGTGATTCCAAATTCTGGGTTCCCACAAAGAACATCAAACTTCAATATGAACAACAAGAGGAAGTTTGTCACCCTGGGTCTGAATGAGGATATGCAACCTTTGCATATTGGCAGACCTTCAGAATTCCATTAACCCATACATGAACAGCTACAGTCCCGACATGGGGTCAACTAAAGAAGTTGACTAATGAAGGACAACACGTAGTGCAACAATCTGGTCAGCCTCTGAATGCCACTACACTGTTTCTTGCTATGCTTTCTGTGATCACTATCCAGGTAAGTGGTGCAAATTACACTTATTGGGCTTATATTCCTAATACCCCCTTAAATAGAATGGTCACATGGGAAGATCCCAATATCCCTATATATGTTAATGATTCCAATTGGATGCCCAGACCATTTGATGTTCGGGGCCCCTTTAAACCAGAGTAAGAAGGAAAAATTCTGACAATTATACTGCAGGAGCAGACGGCCTGCCTATCTGCACAGGGCATGGATCTCATTGTTTAAAATTAAGCCCTCAAGCTTGGCTATCAATAATATGCAACACCACCAAAGGTGATCGCAAAACTCCCAAACAGTTATTCCTGTTAAGTCTGGAAGGATTTAAAGAGGAACACAAAGATAATCAAACTTCACCTCCTGACTTATCCCCATGTCAGGTCCCTATTTCTACTCATTTTGATAACTGGGTGCACTGGACCTAATGTAGAGGTGAGGAGGCATGAGTTTTTCTTAATACTTCCTATGAAAGCATCATTGATTGGAGCCCTATTGGGTCAACTCAGGTCAAAGGATTTAGGACTGACTTATGGTGAAACAAAGAAAACCAAACCATTCATACTCACTTGGGCCAATCATTCCTTAATTTGGCATGGTGGTGGCTTCGCCATGCCCAGTCTGCACTTGTTCGGATGGCCAATACAGTCCTATTTATGGAATGTAGGTGCCTCCCTGAAACCTTTAAAAGCTTGGAAAGGGCATATTTGGATCAAGAGAACTTCCAATGATACACATCTTAGTTTTACTATAAATGAAACTGCTTTTGTTCAAACTTGTGTCTGTTCACCTTTTTTGTTTATGATGGGCCCGGCAGAATGGAAGGACACCACTGGTCTGGTATTTTGTCTCAATTGTTCTTTTTATACTTGCCTTAATAATTATATCCCATTCAACATGTGTAGTCATAGTTTGTACATTCTGCAAGAAAGAACTAGGGTCTGGCTGCCTGTACAGCTCAACTGGCCATGGCAAGATTCACCTGCAATGATGATGCTACAACAAATTAAAAGACACTTGTCAAAATGAGTAAAAAGATTCATTGGACTTGTCATTGCCACTGTTTTGGGAATCATTGCTGTGACTGCCACTGCCACTGCTGCTGGAGTTGCTTTACAACAGGCTATTCAGACAACAAACTTTGTTCAGGATTGGCATAAGGACTCTGAGAAATTATGGTCCTTGCAAAGACAGATTGACAGTGATCTTTCTAGCCAATTAGTTGATTTACAATAATCTGTAATAATGATGGGTGATCAGATTGTGAGCCTTGGAAGGCAGATCCAGCTTAAATGTGATTGGAATACCAGTACATTCTGGGTAACTCCTATTCTCTATAATGAAACTGTTTTCCCTTCAGAGACAGTATGAAAACATCTGCTAAACCATGGTAATATATCTTCTGAGATATTGAATTTACAAAATCAAATAACTGAGACCTATCAAAAACAGCTAGAATCTCTCAACGGTTTGAATCTCATACAGGGAATGATGGATGGGCTAAGTAAAATGAATCCAATATCACAAATCAAAACCCTCTTGGGGTCCTTAGTGGGATTATTGTTCTTTGTTATATGTATGTGCCTTTTCTTTTGTTTAGTATGGCGAAGATTACAACGATCCCAAGGAGTAACTAATCAACAGTCCGCTGTATTCTCACTTATGTTCCATAACATGAAGCAAAAACAAAAGGGGGAAGTGTAGAGAAGAATGTTGTCCCAGAGCAAGTTGAACTTAGAATGAACTATGGGGAAACATTCCCAGGAAGAGCAGATGTTCTCTCACATGCGAGATAACATCCAGGGAGCATTGCATGCGATGCTCCCTCTGTTCCAGGAACCTTGACATCCAAGGGTGTGAGTATTTTGCTCTGGGAAAGCTCAAGATTAGATATGAAAGCTTTCAAGATGTTATTCTTAAAAAACAGCTTCTAGGCCTTGGTTGTAATCCCTCACATTTCTCACACTCTCATTGTGCACTGCTTCAATAAAAGACATGGGCAACAGAGGCAAGCTGCTGTTTTCCCTTGTGAGCTGCAGCCCTCTGCTCATCCACTTAACTGTATTCTTGTGGTCTGACTTTTCTTCACGTCTGGAACAACTCCAACAGAAACTGTTAGTTTCCCTGTCCCTTCTGTTGCCAAACATGCTGCTGCCCCCTAAGATTTTCCAAACTCTAAGAAGGGAATATTTTAGTGCAAGCAGACTGACAATCAAGGTGAAAACATCCCAACAGTACACCATCTGGGTCACTGAGTGGCCTGGCAGAACATGGGTTGGGTTAGAGAGGATTACTCTCCATGGAAACACTTCCCATTGCCCTATTCCACACAACTACACACAGTGCCTACACCTAGAATCCAATCCTCACTCTGCAAATCATCCTGTCTTTTACCTAATGTGAATTTGACACTCTCAGTAGACAGTATCCTAGGAATCCCCCACCCTAACAGGAGATGTGAACCTCAAGTCAGCCCAGGCAGGTTCTTGATGTCTCATTGAAGAAAAGTATTTTAAAAAGCATACTGAGAGACACAGGCTGATTCATTAGGCAGAATTTGAAATTAAGAGAAAATGGGACAGGATTTTAGCATGAGTAGCTGAAGAAGGCACAGCTCTGATGAAAGGGATCAGCCTGGTTTACAAACAGAGGAATGAGACAGTTTTTGTACAAGGATTGTGCAGGGCAAGGTTCAAGTTGATTAGTTTTAGTTTTGCAAGGTGGCTCCAGAGAAGTCTCTAGCATTAGAGAAGGCAATCTGGTATCGATGAAATAATCCTTTCTGCTTGGCAGATTCTGTTTGCAGTTTCTTCTGTATTCCATGATGATTATTGGTTTAGGGCAGTGGTGGGTAACCTATGACACCAATGGTATTTGTTGATCCTTTAAGACAAAAGATTTTCATGTATGATTGTTATCTTTTTCTAAACTAAAACTTCAGTATTCTGCTTTCATAGCAGTGTAAACACTTTGTGATAAATATGTGGGACTGGGTTTGCAGTTTGGGCACTCATCTCTAAAAGATTCATGATCACTGGCTCAGGTCAATGACAGAGACTTCCTGCACTCATCAATAATTGAACGTCCCTGTAAATCTCATCATGATGTCCTCTGTCGGAGGAGATGAGGTGTATAAATGCAGGGCTGGTCAACCCTGTGTTGCTGCTCATAGACAGACACTCCCTACAAGGCTAATATGTCAATGTGAGAGATGGAAGGCAATCTGACACAAAGTTTTAAGGTAATAAAGGCAGAAAGAACTGAAGGGAAAACTTTGTTCTGCTTTCAGTTACTCATTATACCTCAACAGGCCAAGGTGAAGAATTTCTGGTTTTTAGAAAATGCTTTTAAGTCCCAACTGCCTCAGAAGAAAACATAGATCATGCTTTTCACGAGTAGCAGGATAAGACCTCAAGAGTGTACCTGGCCTTGTCCCCATGGAGGTCTCCAAGGATGCCAATACTGCTGACCACACCTTCATAAAATGCTTGCATGCCATTTATTTAGTCATCTACTCAAGGATCACTCAAGGTTTATCATGAAACAGTGAATATTTAATCCTGAACTTTTGAACTGTTGAGTAATATCTCTCTTCACATATAGTGAACTTTTTCAAATTATTAGTAAATTTTCTATGACTGTAAACATTTACAAGTTAATTAAAGTGTTATTATTTAATATCTATGAACCTTAAAATTTGAACACATGTCATAATGTGAATTGCACATTCCCAGTTGGTATTCTCGAATTCATTTTCCAGAATAAGGTGGGTTGGAATTTCCAATGATTCATTCTCCTTTCATTTTAAACATGAAGAAAAATACTATTATTCCTAACAAGTCTGTAGAGAAATTCAAAGCCAGAACATATATTGGAAAGAATCATGAAACTTGAGGACAGGAGTATCAATGGTGTCAAGTCTGAAGAATAGAGAATAAGATTGCAGAAAAGTGGACAGGCACAAGGACCTGTGAGACATAATGAACCAGACCAACATGGCATTATTGGGGAGCCCAAAAAGGAGAGAAAAGACAAGGAAACATTTGAGGAAAAGCTAGCACTCAATATTCTGAGATAATGAAGAGTGAGAATATAAACATTCAAGAAATTCAACAACTACCAGAAGAATGTGCACAAGCAGACCCACACAATGCATTAAAATCACCCAAAAGATCAAACAAAAAGAGTGGAAAATGAAAACAGCAAGAGTAAAGGTGACTTTTCACATCCAAGCAAACTTCAATAAGGACCATAGGGAGCCTCCTCCTTATAAATGCCATTAACATTAAATAACAGCATTGGTGAAAATGAGAAATATTGTAGGCCTCAGGCACTGTGATGGGAATGTAAAACTACAGCTGTGATAGGATACAGCAGAAACAGATACAAATGAAATAGCATATGATCTGGGAACTCTACTTCTAATTATGTCCTCAAAAGTATTGAGAGCAGAGTCATCCAGAGGCATTTGGGCACCAATGATCACGGGAGCACTACTCATGGTCACAAAAATACAGAAGCTTCTAAAAGTGTATTGACAGATGAATGCATAAGCAAAAGGTAATAATTACATAGAAGGCAAATGTACTCTAACTTTAAAATAGGAAATTCTCAAAACTACAACATGGATGAATCTCTACAACATCATGCACGGCAGGGGTCCCTAACACCTAAACTGCAGACTTGCACCACCCCATGGTGTGTTAGGAGGCAAGTTGGAAAAAAGGAGGTGCACAGCACAGGAGCAACTGAAGCTTCATCTGTCTACAGTGCACATCATCTCTGCCATGACCACATGAGCTCTGGCTCCTATCAGATCAGTGTGGCATTAGGTTCTCTTTGGAGCATGAAACCTACTGTGCACTGCATGTGTGAGGGATCTGGGTTGTTTGCTCCCAGTGAAAATCTAAAGGCAGGTGATCAGAGGAGGAGCCAGGGGGTGATGGTAGCATTTGACTGCAGAGACCATGATAAATCAATTGCTAGGAGATTCAGATCAAAACCCTATCACTAAGTGAAAATTAAGCTGCATGTGGTGTCAGACTTTACAGAGGCTGTGAGCTCATGTCCTTCACTTGTACAGCTGCACCTGGTGGCAGATGTTAAGTCAAATCCAACATTTGTTGTATCTATACATGGCTCATCTTTTATTTACCACTTTCAAATGTTTCTTTCATGAACTGTGCACTTGTCCCTGAGAGTTTTGATAAGCTCACAAGGTAACCCTAGCTATGGTAAATACAAAACAAAGTCATGAGACAGCTTCTTTAAAAGGGGGAAAGGTTCAATGATGAGACACAATAAGGCTCTAAGGTAGCTAACAGACAGAAATCTGGATTTAAAAGTAAATACCAAGAATCCTGTTTACCTTATGGCTTCATTGAAATAAGTGATTCGTATTCTTCAAGCACACTTTGTATAATATGTGCTGACCAGCCATCCAATTAAGCTAAGAATGCTTCAAAACTGCTTTGCCACATGGAATCCAAACACTCTAAATTTAAAAACAAAGGTTTGGAATCCTTCAAAAGAAAAAATATTAACATGAAGAAGAAAAGCAATTGCAGAAGGCACCAGTTCATCAAATGTGTCTGTGCTAAGATCATCATTCTCAGTGGCTGACCACATTGCTAAAGCTGAGAAAGAAGCCCTTCACTATTGGTGAAGAGTGGAATCTGTCTGCTTCTAAAGACATTTGTCAGGAACATTTAGGACAGATCAAAGTTCAGATGGTGGCGTGCATCTGGCTAGCATCATTTATAGACAAACTGATGAGCAGCAGAGGATATTGAGGCACCCTATTAAGAGAGTATTAATGAGTCACTTGGTGCTTGATCTAGGTTGACTAGTCTGCTAATAGTACCAACACAGGAACAATGATTGTCTTTCTGCAAAGTATTTTTCAGGATGGTGTAAATGAAGATAAGTAGTGTGCACTTTTGTTGCCAAACAATTCTGGATCTGTGAAACTACTCAATTCTTTAAATAACTATATCACAGGAAAACTGAATTCATCATTTCATTTGGGATATTCATGAACAGAGGGAATACCAAGACTGCATGGCTTGCAGGGCTCAATACTTGTGTCAAGGAGGTTAGTTCTGCATATGAGTATAGGCCCTGGTGATCTGCAGAGAAAAGCTGGATAGCCCAACAGTGTCACCCGAACTACACAATGTTTTTCAAGAGTGATAAAATTAACAACCACATTAAAGTACATTCTTTTACTTCATATCTTTGCTCACAGCTCTCTGAGCACACAGACACAGGGCACATATGCCTTGTCTAGTACACAGAAGAGAGGTGATTTCTGAAGTTTGATCATTGGCCAGGTGTTTTGAGCTATAAGAGCTGCTCTAGAGATTTCCTTGAGAAAAACAATCACCATCGGTAGTGCATTTCAGTAACATCAACCAGGTACAGATACTTGCTTTTCCCTGTGATATATTCAACCTTCTCAATAAACTTAATTGGCCACTTCAGAAGAGAATGAAAGCTGTATTCAAGTTAGCAGATAAAGAGATTGCATTCAAATCCAAACTTGAGTAAAGGGAGTGATGAGTTACCATTGGATTTTCCTACATATTGCAAAAGTTAGCCGAAATTTTAAAAAAGAAACTGACCCAGAGCCTTCTTTCTGACATCTTGTTCATGATCACCTATATAGCTTTCAAAAGAGTTCAAGAATTGCTTCTCAAGCACAGGAGACCCCAATATGGGTGGGAAGGAATGGCTCCATTACCTATTCATGAATACACTAGGTGAAACAACTTTATTCCTGCTAGAAGATAAACTGCTTGAGATCACAAATTATGGTGGTTTTAACACTATGTTTGAGAAACCCTCAAATTACCATTCATTCTGAATTAAACTCAAAGTGGAATAGCCTGACATTACCACAAAAAACATGTAAAAGCCTGCTTCCATTTCCAACACCCTGTGTTTGTGGAGGAGGCTTTTCTTTAATGACCACAAGCAAATTAAGATTATAGAGTAGTCAGGATTTAAGCAACACTTTCCATGTGTCACTGTCTTCCATTACACCTAGGTGGGACTGTCCAGTT